GAAACTGGAGTTAATTCCGTGGCCAGCAGGCAACAGAGAACAAGTGCTTCCACCAGTGGAATTGGGGGTGGAGGTATCTCCCTTTCCCTCTGCAGCTCCTTTTGCACCCAAAACCCAAGTCACAAAGCCTGGAAAGTTTTTAAAAGTGGTTTTCCGCTAACATAAAGACAGACGGACAAGACAGACTAAATGCATATTCTTTACTTTTATAAACTTCAGAAAGAAAACTATATATGAAGAAAAACTAAGAAGTTCTTCATTCAATATTTAGCTATACATTTTTCTATAATATAGAAATGCATGTGTATTAACTGTACTTCTGTAGTTCTGTTGTAATATGCCAGCATTGCAAATATAGTTGATAAAAGCTACCATCTTTCCCCGAAAATAAGAGAGGGTCTTATACAGTATTAATTTTTGCTCCAAAAAACACATTAGAGTTTATTTTCAGGAAATTGTGTTTTTTTTCATGTACAACAATCTAGATTTATTCAAATACAGTCATGTCATCTTCTGGTTGCTGCACAATGCTGCACAATGGTGGAGGGCAGGGTTTCACTTAACTGGGGCTTATTTTGGGGGGTAGGGCTTATATTATAAACATCCTGAAAAATCATACTAGGGCTTATTTTGAGGTTAGGTCTTATTTTCAGGGAAACAGGGTAAGATTAAACTCAAAATAATCTCTGCATCTTTGTGTCCGTCAAACTTAACAGTATATAGTCCCTTGTACACTCTTTTTATTCTGGTTTTGCATTTTGAGATAGGGGATAATACCAACACACAATTGTATAAGCTGAGCGCTTAGAAATAAAGAGCTACGTTCATTCAATTCATATGCTACACATTCAAAAAGCATACCCTCATATGAGCATGTCCTGTAACTCCTTGTTTGTCTAATTCTTGCATGCAAAGACAAGAACTGCATTTTCCCCTCCTTGCCTGCAAGAGAGCGAGAGATTTTCTAACAGCACTTTCATTTTCTCAACATCATTTTATGACAATAACGCAATTTGCACAGAATTACAGTACTGTAGTTGCTACCATGTTGCATGGACTTTTAAGCAACAGAATCATCAAATAGGTTATTAGTCTCCTTTGTATCAACCAGCCAATCTTTCTATATTTCCTATATATGTGTATGTCTGCCTAGCTTTCACGAAGGAAAAGACACTGGTTTTGTGCAGGGACATTTTGTCTCAACTGGGTAAACTTCAAGAAAAAACAAGTACAGGGGTGTGGGGTTTGGGGTGTGTGTGGAGAAACTGAGGAAACTTGTGGGACTTGAACATTCCTCCCTGAAGTGCCTCATCATGTTGAGACAGTCAAAACAGACATGAATGAGAAAATTAGCAAAAGGATGCAGGTGGAGTGACCATTATGAAAGGCTTTTTCTACCCCAACTCGCCTTCTTCAAAAGAGGCTAACATGATTTGTGAGTGAATATGGGGCCTGGATGATGGCTAATTGAACGAAAATGTATTCAACATACATTTCATGCATTCATTAGGTTCACTGCTTCTTTTTCTTACAAGTTGTGAGCAAAGTTTTTTTCTCCCTTTTTCCTGTTAAACCTAGATTTAAATTCACTGTGGTCAAAGGACAG